CATAAAAAATTTTATTGGATGAAGCATGAATCTCAATGTAGCATTAGAATTAATTTTCAGATCATCTAAACTCCAATTTCAAGAAACATATGGCTAACTTGAAATTCTCGAGAGACAAAACCTAAGGACATTAAGAGTAATCAAATATGAGTAAAAATGAGCCCTAATTAAATATTTATAGTATTACTTAAATAACCAAATAATTTTTAAATTGAAGGAGAAGAATCTAGCATGTGACTCAATGACAACAATTCAACAAGCCCGATGTTATTAACTTAAGTATTGAATTAAGTATTTATAATCAAAACAATCAACATTATAATTTGATAAAGTGCGACAAAAATAACCAATTTATCACTAAAAAAACTATCAATAGACCCTTGTACTCATATCACTAAAAAAACTATCAATAGACCCTTGTACTCAATATAAAGGGGGATTTATGCAAAAATTGATTAAACTTGGAGCCAAATTTGGACTTAGAGTTGTAGAGAGCTTTGCACAATGAGCAACATCAGTGTTCGCCATCACCTAACCACCTTATCCAAACACAACTTCCTGCCTCCAATCTCCAAGTCACTGTTACTTGATTTCATGTGCAGTCTATTGAACATTGTGGCTTAACTACAATCTCTACAACACTATTGCTTAACTATAGTCTCCCACTGACGAATGCATACCGCTGAAACCAATGTCAACGATCATCAATTTCATCATTCGTCATCTCCAATTATGTTGACACACTCCGTCACATATAAGGCAGATGCACCCACTCGATACATGCCATCACTTATAAAGTTGTTGTATGAAGTTGACACATGCGATCGCCTATAAAATTGATGCATGTCATTAACATCAAGGTTGAAGTTCTTCTGCTTTGTCACATGTCATCACTCACAATATGATGCGCACCATCACTAATAAAACTGGTATATGCTATCGATATACACTCCGATTACTCACATCAACACAAATATTATAGTAAGTTTCTTGGTCTCCAATCTACTCTCCTTAAATGAGAACCAACGACTATATGATAAATTTAAAATAAACGGGGGAGTATAATCATTTCTACTCAAGAGTAAGCTTAATTTAAATAAATTTTAGTTTAAATTTTCAGTCAAAGTTATCGAGTTAGAATACGATTTTTTTCCCCTAAATTGAGAGCGAAATAGAAAATATAATACACATAGACTGAATTGAATTTGTGAGGGTAAGAAAAAGGAGTAACAAATGACTGCAATAGCACATAAAGGAAAATTAAAAGCAAACCAAGCAACAACTCATCATCCATGAAAACGTAGAGAATGGCAAAGAAATTAAATTATAAACATAGAACAAAACTGTTTACAGAAGGACAACAAAAATCTTAAGACCAAAGTTCTCTTGATGAATCAACCCAGAAATGGAAAAAAAAATCTTCATTAAAAAAAAAAAAAAAAAAAACTCATGAAAAAGCTGCCAAAAACCCTATATAAGCCTGAATAATAGATGGAAATAATAATAAAATATCAAATACCATAGCCCATGAAGCAAATATGAGAATAAGTAAAAACAAAACCTAATCAGGTGATTTAAGCTATTATCAATGTGTCTCATGCTCTTTTATAGGAAGAACTGCAACATCTGGGGCCTGCCTCCACTGCCCCAAGTAAGGGGAAAATAGCAACTGAGGAGTTCTTGGGCAGGGTTTCTGTCCCCTCAATTGATCAATGTTGAGGTCTTCTTATCTGTATTGTATGGGCTACCGCAATCATACGGGAACGCTGTTGTCTGGAGTGGTACTTTATTTACTTTGTTGGTGCCCTCTGCAAGACCATGGGGAACCTCTCATTGTCAATTGAGGGGATTTTTTTTTCTATTTGTTCTTTTCCATTTTAGTTGTTCCTTGTTTGATTTTCTTTTTCAGACTGTTCTTCCCTCCTTTTGTGTTGGAGAGGCATAGTTGATTTTCGTTCAAGTTTGTACTCTATTGTACTATCTTTTTGTTTTAATGAAAAATAAAAAAAAAATTTGCTTAAAAAAACGATGATCTAAAAGCAACTTAAATGATATTTGATTATGTGACTAATTATGATAGATTTAGAAATTTTATTGTCAAAGATGTGATTGTTCCTATATTTCATATGTAATATGTCAAGGTAATAGTAAGCTCAACAATCTTTTGCTAACTCCAAGCCACAATAAGAGCAATATAGTCTGTTTGGAACGGCTGCAATTATTTATAAAAAGTGATTGTAAAGTTGCTATAAAGAAAGTAATTTTTTTTAAAGTTGTTATAGAAAGTAGCTTCTTAGTAGAAAAATGTCCTAAAAGTAATGAAAAAATAGTGGCGAAATAAAAATAATGATTTTGTGAAAAATAAAGCAATAAGAAAGCAATTCCAAATAAAATAACAATAGCATTTGAATGAAAGTGGACCTTAGTAGGAAGAAATTTCAAAAGGACACACTACATCATAAAGTAGTGAAAGAAAGTGCAAGTAAAAAAAAAAAAGATTCAAGCTTTCATTCTCAGCAAAGAGCATTTAGGGTCAGCATTATCTTGATGAGTTACTTCTAAGTCACTTTTTAAAATGGGCCAAATAAGAATATTAAAGTAGAGTGAAATTGGCCTAACAAACATTAAAATAGTGGGGATAAAAGGTTTCTCTCAAATCATGAATGTTGGATTAGGCTTACCATACAGGTGATGGAATAATCACCTCTGTTGATAATAACAGAAAAAATAGTATTGAAAATAACATTATAGGGGAGAATCATAGCTAACCCTTCACGAGTAAAGGTATGGACTAAAGTATTTATTTTTGTGCTTCCCTCAACTGTCCATGCCTTTACTCAAGTGCTTCTGTAATGGTTAGCAGAAGTCCCGTGTACACATATTATTCACCAACAACAACATAAATTAAAAGTAAAAAACAAAGCACAAATAGCAACAACCAAACAAACAACAAGAAAACGTAAGCATGGGGCACCACCAGGGAATTTGTTGCAGAATATAGTCGACTTTAGGTCAAATTATTAGGTCCGGACGCTGGACCTAGAGATACGTCCGGACTCCAATAAAATATTGACATGTTGAATGTGCACGTGTACGCAAAATTTTAAGTCAAGCGTGTCAAAAGTGCAGGTAAAGCGCATCCCACATGTCAAATTTTAATTGGAATATATAGGTCCGGTGTCCGGACCTAATAATTTGCCCGACTTTAGGGGGAGATAAAGTCTGAGTCTGGCATTAATTAGTCATATGGAACTCAAACTCAACTTGTTGATCAAAAAACTCGAACTCGGTCTTGAGTTGTGTATATATATTTTGCTTGAATTTGACTCATTCATAAGACGTAGTCTCGTAGATGGAGCCCATTGAAGAAGGATCGATGAGACCAGTGACTTGAAAAAGAAGAGGAAGTTGTGGGATCTTGTGAAAGCATTGTCAGAACTAGCGACTAAAGATGTAGAGGAAGTTGTTGTGGGTGCTTGTTGGGAAAGGATTGACAGGATGAGTGGCTTGAAAAGGAAAAGGAAATTGCTACGGGAGAGCTCATAAGAGAAGACATTGACAAGACAATTAGTAGGAGAAGAAGAGAAAGTCATTGTTGGAGCTCGTAGGTGAAGCAATCAACCAGACCAATATTCTCTGATGAAGAGGAGTTCATAAGACTTGCAACAGCAGGAAAAGTTGTGATTTATCTAAACTAGTAGGAAACGATATTAAAGTTCAAATATTTACTCTAATCATTCAGCCTCACCTCATCAAACTCGTTTAACACACGAGTAATAATTTGAGCTAGAGCTTAAGCTTATGGCTAGATAAGCTCAACACTTGAGCTTGTTAGCGAGCAAAGTCAAGCCATACAAGAGTTGGCTCAACTTACACCCTAATTGCCTTTTTCTTCAATCAACAAACAAGAAATCAGATGTTGCAGGTTTCTATTCAATTAAATGTAAACTTCTAAGTGTGACGTTGTGGATTTAATTTTGATTTCTTTGGTGTCTAATTTTACTTTTTCAAGCAATTTTGGGCAAAAAATTTAAAATTTGTGTCATGATCAATATGTCAACTTCCTGGGTGAAAATTAAGAAGTAGGGGAAATTATTTTGTTCATAGCTCTAAATGAGGAGTGATCGTTGTATGCTTATAAATGTCTTCTCTTGTGTCTCACATGTGCTTAATGTTTTCCATTTGAAGAACCTAAACCTAATATACCCTAGTAGCGTATACTCGGCTAAAAATGGTTGAGTCTTCAGCTAGAAGCACTTGATAGAAGAAGAATTTCATTCAACTCGACAAAGCAATTCGAGAAGATTATCTCCTAGGGAAATTCCAAAAAAATCATACAGTACCTTTCAGGCGTTGAGAATTCGCCTCCTTTGCTGGAGACTGGAGTCACCCTCCCAGAGCAACTCATCGTCACTTATATTGGCAAGCCACCAATGGTTTTCATCAATTAAATCATAAGGATGATTTGCGTCCATGAAGACACAAATACCCTGGTCACGCTCGGCCAGCGGTGCGCTCATAACTGCCATAGCTAATTAAGGTGGGCTCATCCATGACATCGTAGCAACCCAAAAAATTGAATCTAGAGGTCCCCAATGTGGCCAAAGGACTCATCACCATATACCTTATTTCTTTACTCATCCCGATGATATGTGTTCGTTAGCTCACCCACCAACACTAGGAGGTCACCAATATGGCCAAAGGACTCCTTGTCATATACATTTCCATCTCGATCCATTCTGAGAACTTATCTTCATCGAACCACCCACAAACTTATCGCATATAATAGATAATATTTTGATACAATCAAATAATATTTTAGGAGTTATTATAAGTTCATTATATAAATCATCTTCGCTCTTATATATATTTAATTTGGATAAATGAAATATATTTAATTTACAATAGATTTACAAGAAGAAATAAAAAATTCGCCTAATTTATTTTTAACTAAATATAAACAATTTCTTTGTAATTCTGCACTTTAAACGTAAGCCAAATCGTACGGCAAATTACCCCTTGCGAGTTCCAATTTCGTGCTCAGCCGTTTGCAACCTCACTGATGGCGCGAACGCCGGCTGAGGCTTACAGCTCCACCGTCGCCGTCCAGGCCACAAACGACGATGCGGCCGCCAGCAAATTGTATGCTTACTTTTTCCTCATGGTTCTTTTTTGACCTCTTTCTGTCAAACTACATATCACGAATTTCTTGCATTAGATCAAAATTAAATGAGGAAACCTAGGGTCCAAATGTAGGATTTTTGTGTCCGACCCATTCCTTGGTTCTCGAAATGTTGGTGGTTCAGTTTTCCTTGCGAATTTTGGTAAGTAATGCATTCGGGCTTCAAATAAGGACGTCTCTAGATGAGTTCTCTAGTTTATGGAGGAATTTATGCTTTGTCGTCTTCGCAATTGCTTAAAGACTTCGTTTTTAATTATGGAAGTTGAAAGTGTTTAATGAAATCCATTAGGGTTCTTTAGAAGGTTTTAAGAAAGTGCCTGGTTTAATTTTAGTATTTTATGGGAAAATTTTGTGTGATTTAGCAACTGTATATTCAGTGAAGGAAATTCTATCTGGCTGTGGTCTGTGGAATATGGATGAGGATCTTGTTCTCATGCAAAAATGGGGAAATCATACATAATTCTAACGGCAACAATGGAGAAATCATATATAACTTCTAGGGCTTGGTAAACTGTGATGGCTGAATATTGAGAGTGGAAAGTTAGAACTTTGAAGTGTGTACTTAAGGGAAGTAGCTGAAATGAAAAAAAATTCCTGGCCTGACATTTGTCCATTAAGTTATGAACCAGAGATGTAATGTTATGGTAAAAAAAATGTTTGGCCATTTGTTCAATATTTGATTGCTTAAGGCAAAAATTTATCTTTCTGTTTTAATGCCACGAGCAATAGGTTTTGTGGTGATGAATTTTTTTTTTTCTGTTTTAATATGGTGAGCAACAATGGTGCCCCATTTTTGTGAATGCTTGGAACTTGTTGTCATTTCAACAGGAGATATTAACCCTATAAAGCTATGTGATGAAAAGTATTGATAATGGAAGCAAATTTGTGCATGGTAAAGATCTATGGCATATTTCTTTGCTAATGTAAAGCAAAGATAATTATATGCTTTAGAGTGTGCAGTCTTCATTCATTTTATTCTTCATTGTGGCCTTAATCTGCAACTCAGTTTTATTAGGCACCAGTACTGCTATTTGATGCGGATCACGATACTCTTTTCTTACCCTCTAGTGCATTTTATCTTTTCCTTAGGCTTCACTATCTCATTACCATCTTTATACCAATTCTGGTATGAAGTACTATCTTTACCTTTTTTACATGTTATACCTAATACGGTAGCTATGGCTACCACATATTATAAATATACTTTTATGAACTGGAGGGAGGATATAGAAAATACAACTATAATATTAGACTACTATCTTTTTCCCTCTGTTTTGATTTTTCTCTGCTTGTGTGCTTTGTCAAGTTGGTATCATAAGCTAGTAGAAGAGAAAATGGTGGAAGGGAGCATCCACCCAACTCTTTATAATGATTGGAGTTTAGACGCTCCAAGGGCTGCGCAAATTAGCACCAATCGGTGATTGGATGAGCTTAAGACAGATTTTTCTCGCTTCTCTATTGAGATGAAGATGAAGCTACAACATCGCACAGTGATGGCGCATAAAACCAATGTGTTTTGACCTTACGTGCCGGCAACTGCACTGGCGATGTGTATTCAACCCCATACCGAACGAATGGGACATCATCCACCTGTTGTTCTTCACGAAGTTATTGATTCGGAGGAAGACGTTACATCCCGAGGTCTTAGAGAAGTTTCTGAATTCACAGATGAAGAACCATTCCATTGTTACGAACGCCCTCGAAGAATTGCAGAAATTCCTAGGGGGCCAGGCGAGTTTCATGTTAAAATGGATATTCCATGTTTTGATGGTCCACTCCATATTGAAGACTATTTAAGATTGGGAGAAAGCCATTGAAACTTTTTTTGAAAACATGGAGATAGCTCCCGACAAACAAGTAAAATATTTAGCTTGTCATTTGAAGGCTGAGGCCGGTGCTTGGTGTCTACAATTGTTACCGACCCACAAATGAGAAGGGAAGGGACAAGTCCATAGTTGGTATATGATGAAATACTTACTAAGGGCTCACTTCTTATAAATCGACTTTGAGAAAATGCTTTACATAAAGTATTAGCATAGTTTGCAAGGATCTAAAACCGTAAATGAGTATACGGAGGAGTTTTATCGCCTTAGCTTGGAATAACCTCAATGAATCTGAGAATTAATTAGTGGCACGTTACATTGGAGGATTGAAGGAAGCTATAAAATATAAGCTAGAGCTTAATTTTGTTCGATCGCTTTCCCAGGCTGTGAATGTCGCACCAAAGGATGAATTTCAGCTACAACGTACCTCGTCATTAGCCTTCCTAACGTCATTTCTATGACCATGTGACAGACCCCTTCAAGAACACTCAAACAACCCCAAAACCTCAAGTAGCAACTCAACAATCAAGTGATTCTCCTCCTGAAGTGAGAGTGCAGCCCAAATCAAGGCCGAACACCAAGGAGAATCCATATAGTCGGCCCACTACACTGAAGTGCTTTCGAAGCTTCCAACCCAAGCACAAATCTAATGAATGTCCTAGGAGTCAACAATTACAACTACTTGAGGGAGAATAAGATGAAGATTAGGTGGTCGTGGACATTGAAGCAAAAACTGAATTTGAAGAAGTGCAATTGGATGAGGGTGAACCTATGATTGGTATAGCCGAGAAACTTCTTCTAGCACCACAACTACCTCTCAACTCACAAGGTCATGCTATATTTAGAACCCGGTGCACTATTAATGTAAAGGTCTGTGAGTTTCTAATAAATAGTGGCTGTACCAAGAATATCATATCCTGCTCAACACCATGCTCTGCAACTCAAAGTCACAAAAAATCCACAACCTTATAAGATTAGTGGGGTCAAGAAGGGATTGGACATCTATGTCTCCGAAATGTGTTTCCTTACCTTCTCCATTGGGAAATACTACGTATGTGAAGTCATTTGTGACATTCTTGATATTGATGCGTGTAATCTTATACTTGGGCGACCTTGGCAATATTACAGTGGTGTTATTTATGATTGCTGAGCCAATGTGTATTCCTTTGACTAGAAAGGCAAAAAAGTACATTTTCTACCTAATGCACCAGATTTTGCCCCTAAAAGAAACACAATTAATTTTGTTGCTTGCATCATCTTCGCACAAACAATGCTGCTATTAAAACTACCACCTATATCCATACTTGCTCTAGTATTAATTGACATGTCCACTGGTCTCCCACCACCAACTCCGCCTAAGAAAATTTAGGACTTATTATCTCAGTTTGCTGATGTCGTCCCTCCAGAACTACTGTCGATGTTACCTCTGTCACGGTCCATTCAACATCAAATTGAACTCATTCCGGGTGTAACATTGCCTAATTTGCGTCTCTATAAAATGAGTCAAAAGGAGCACTCTACTTTACAAGCCTCGATGACATGCTAATACAAAATAGTGTTAGTATGTTTGCCATTCATATGCTGATTGCTCCCAAAAATGACGGACAATGGAGGCTTTGTGTTGATAGCCACGTCATTAATAAGATTACAGTAAAATATCGGTTTCCCAATTGAGTGATATGCTGGACTGATTAGCCAATGCAATTATTTTCTTTAAGCTTGATGTAAGGAGTGGGTACCATCTTATTCGTGTACGCCTTGACGATGAATGGAAGACTGCCTTTAAAGATGTTTGAAGGGTTATATGAATGGATGGTTATGCCCTTTGGCCTTTGTAATGCATTTTCCACTTTCATGAGACTCATGAATGACATCCTCAAGCCATTTTTGGGCAAACATTGTCGTATAGTTTGACGACATCCTAATCTTCAACACTTCCGAGAATATGAACATTTGGATTGCCTAACACAAATTCTAGAATGTCTCCATTACAACCAACTATGCCTCAATCTTCCCCAACTTTGAATTCGCCACTTATACAATTCATTTCCTGGGGTTCAATATTTCACAAGAAGGGGTTCACATGGATCAACTCAAGATATCTGCTATTATCGAATGGTCGGTTCCTTGGTCCTTGTTCAATGTTCGAAGCTTTCATAGCTTAGATAAATTATATCGGCGGTTTATTAGAGGCTTTAGTATCTTAATGGCCCCCATAACAGACTGCTTGAAATCACACTCTTTCCTTTGGTCTCCAACTTAACAACGCATTTTCAAAGCCATTAAAGCTACTATCAACTCATCCCCAGTTTTGGCTTTGCCGGATTTTAGCAAGCCTTTTTTGGTTGAAACAGATGCCTCATCCATTGGAATTGATGTTGTTCTCTCACAAGATCAAAGGCCCATTGATTTTTTAGGGGAAAGTTGAGTGAAGCTCACCAAAAGTGGTCCACTTATGAACAAGAACTCTAGATCGTCATTCGATCTTTATAACAGTGGGAGCAATATCTATTGCATTAGGACTTCTTCTTGTGCACTGATAACCAAGTTATCCAATATGTAAACAATAAAAAACACATCAACAAAATGCATGCTCGCTAGGTAATCTTCTTACATAAGTTTACTTTCGTTCTCCAACATAAAGCTAGAAAATCAAATAGAGTTGTCAACGCTCTCAATTGCTAGACAGCCTTGCCAACACCGCTCAAAGCAAAGATTACTAATCTCCATTCACCAAAAGACTTGTATGAGACTGATAGAGACTTTACATAAATTTGAGCTCAATGCAATCAAGGACATCCTGTAGGTGATTTTACATTGCAGCATGGCTTCCTTTTTAAAGGCAATTGCCTTTGTATACCTGAATCATAATGGAGACCTCAACTTATCAAAGAAATCCACTGTGGGGGAATGGCTGCTTATGTAGGTAGGGATTGGACACTAGCACAGCTACATGCTAGATTTTTTTGGCTGCGCCAACGGTGTGATGTGTCTCGTTTTGTGAAACATTATTTTTTTTTTCAAACATATGAAGGAAATCATTAAAATACGAGCCTTTATACACCCTTACCAGTTATGGACTCAATATAGGAGGACTTGAGTCTCGATTTTGTGGTGGGCCTCCCGCAAACTAAGCTTGGGGCTGATTTCATCATGGTTATTGTCGATCGCTTCTCTAAAATGGCTCACTTCATCCCTTGCAAGAATACTTTTGATGCACTAAACATTGCGCGTCTTTTTTTAGAGAAATTATTCGCTTACATGGTTTACCTCGTAATCTCACTTTCGGTTGAGATGTTAAATTTATTAGTCACTTTTGGCTGGAGTTGTGGAAGTGTTTACATACTAAAATCAAACTCAGCCAACCTACTATCCGCAAATCGATGGCCAGATGGAAGTGGTGAATCAGAGACTTAGCAATATGTTATGTTGCTTAGTTCAGTAGCAGCCAAAATAGTGGGAAGATATTTCGACCAAGCAGAGTTCACCTACAATTCAATGCCTAATAGATCTACAGATTTGTGTCCATTTAATATTGTTTGTACTGAAGTACCTAACCACCTCATAGACGTGACCATTCTACCCAAGTGCCGCAGTGCTATAGCAACTAAAACTGCTAAACACTTCACTAATATGCTCAAAGATGTCAAGTTGAAGTTAACAACAACAAACATGAATTACAAACATAACACATACATTCACCGGCGCTGCATAGAATTCTATCTAGGCGAGTTAGTCATGCTGCGACCAAGGAAGGAACGCTTCCCGTCAGGAACGTATTCAAAACTCAGTCCCAAAAAAAGGTCCCTTTTCCTATCCTCTGCAAGATTAATGATAATGTATATATCATTGATCTACCACCCAGCCTACTTACATCCTCTACATTCAATATCAACGACATTTACAAATATCATCCTCCAGACGAAGCTTTCACCGCAACCCACTTGGAGGATTCGAGTTCGACGATTGCAGGGGAGAATTGATGCGGATCATGATACGCTTTTCTTACCCTCTAGTGCATTTTATCTTTTCCTTAGGCTCCACTATCACATTACAGCTTTATACCAATTATGTTATGAAGTACTATCTTTACCTTTTTACATGTTATATAGATACCTCATATTATAAATATGCTTTTATGAACTAGAGGGAGGATATAGAAAATACAACAATAATATTAGACTACTGCATTTTTTTTCTTCGTTTTGATTTTTCTTCGTCACTTTTTCTCCACTATTGAAATGCACCCTTACCCTTATGTTTTGCATCCATGCTATAATTTATGTACAGGTCATGCGTTAAAAAGGGATACATGAAGGATGAGTATGTTCATTTTTTCGTGAGAAGGCCCGTTAGGAGATCACCAATAATAAATCGTGGTATGAAGAATTTCTTTTGTCGCCTAAAACAAAGCATTTCTGCTCCTTGACATCCTGATTCTTACTCCATTTCATACTCAAACGATTTGAAAAGGTTATTTTGCACGTTGGGCTGTTCTTCGGAAACTTCTTCTACAGTTTTTAGAGCCCAAGGATGATTCAAGCGAAAGAAATGTCATGAAGAAACAAATTTTGTCTCTTGGAGCTGGCTTTGATACAACTTATTTCCAATTAGTGGTAAGCAAAAATGCAGTCTTCTGCAATCCATATCTATGTCAGTCCAACATCTTAGTTTTTTGTTTTTTTTTCTGTATTATGCTATTAGTGAAGAAAAAATCAAGAATATTTTCTTTGTTTTGACTTTAATTGATATGTACCTGGGGAATAGTGGATATCTCTTATTCTCCTTCTTTCAATGGAAAGTGTTGCTAAACATTCATGTTTTGATAATCATTTTTATTGACTTGTTATGTTACCAGCAGAATAATTTCTAGATTATTGATTTTGGCTTTGCCTTTTTCATAGGAAGAGGGAATCGCACCGCATCTATATGTGGAGCTGGATTTTAAGGAGGTCTGATATTTGAAATGTTCATATGTTAAGCTCAAATCATTTTCCCAGGAAATCATAATTACTACTAAATTCTTAAATTATTTGCTTCTTGTTGTTATTTGTTAATCAATCATATTTTATTGTTGTTAGGTGACCAGCAAGAAGGCAGCCCTCATAGACCACCATAATCAGTTGAAGGATAAGGTTGGAAGTGAAGCTTATATTTGTAAAGGTAACATAGTTCTACTTTCTCAGATTTTTATATATTGTTGGTTTTCTACCCTCACAGTCTTGTATGCCTAATTTTTCTTATAGCTTAATATAGAAATGTTTCCATATGTTTACATGTTTGGGCATATGCATTTTTGTTATTCATGCTTATGACATGTATTTTTGTCTCTAAGTAGTGCATAAAAATATTGTAAGTTTTGATAATTATATAGAGTTGACTTTGCTTTCCTCGATTTTTGTTTAATAAACTTGCTTTTTCACTCTGAAATATGTGTAATTAAAATATCAATCAAGCTACCATTTATGAGAAGATAAGATTTGCAGTATTTCATTGTCCTTAATATGAATTAACAATGACATATTTTCACCACTTTTCCAGAGAGAGGTGAAGTTTTAAGTGATCATTATAAACTTCTACCTATTGATTTACGTGATATAAACCAATTGGATACTATGATGGAGCTTGCTCAATTGGATTGTAGGTATGTTCTACTAATTTTCTCTATTTTAAGTTAATACTTTATTACTTCAATCTTAGTAAAAACTCTTTCATTTTGTTTTAACATTTCATACTAGTTATCATAATGGCTGTGGTTTTTTCCTTTGTTATATTCATTTATAATCAACTAAGCCTAATTTTTGGGAGATTCAGGCTATTTCTTTTTGTTTCGCATCTGTTTAGTCTTTATTTTAATGATGTGCAAGGCAAGAAATGAAAACTTTGATATGTGTAGCTTGCATTTTGAAAAAGAATGTGATAAATGTTGTAGTTTTAATTACAATTGAATTGATGCATCATATCTCAGTTTGAAGGTTCTTAATGTAACTAAATGTTGTAATGTTTGAAACTACATATATTAGTTTTAGAAATTCGTAGTTCAAAGACCATCAATTAAAATAAGAATTTTTTTAATGTAGACCCAAAAATATGAGAAATCCTTACCAAAAGATAATTTAATGATTCCTCAGATAAAAAAACAATATAGAAAATTTAAACCACCACCAAGAACCACATGTTGTTTAAGGCTCATTTTACAAAAATAAATCTAGTTGTACTGAATTTAACTAAAATCCACATGCTTGCAAAAAATTAATATAAAAGTAGTCGCAATTGCATTGCATTTGAAGGAACGAAGATCCAATTAAGCAACCAAAATTGAACAAAAGAGGAAATTTATCATCCAAACAATTTTATTTCTCACCTGAGAATTTAGAATTCATGAGCATCAAAACCTTAGAATTGGTTTTCTTTTAAATTTCCCCTAAAATAATTTCAATGCTACATTATGTTTTGTAGATAAGCATGAATAGCAAAATACAAAAATATTGAGTGGTTACCACGAAATCAACAACAGACTAACAGAATACAACATTTCATACATACATAATCTTGTTCATTACCAAACCCTACTCTCCATAGTATGGATAAGCATGACAAAGGCATATCTTGTTGGAAAATAGACGGAATTTATATAAAAAAAAGATCCACTCACAAAGAGCACAAAATTTTATACAGGCTCTCTCAATTGATGGCTATATCTTGTTGTCATTGTTGTAGATTTAACTATGATTAGATTCTGAAGAAAATATAACCCCAATTTCTCTTGTACAACATAAGAGGACACCCACATCCCTTCTTTTATAAAATAAAAAAAAACTAGGTCAATAAAAAAATATAACAAAATTCTTGAAATGCTCTTAATGAAATAACCACTGAAATTGGATTCCTGTTAGGGGCCCCTTGCCCCCTAACAGAAATTGGATTCCTGTTAAGTGCTCCTTGCCCCCCTTGCAACCTCTAAAAATAAATAAATAAAATAAAAAAAATTAAAAAAATAAAAATAAAAAAATAAAAAAAAATAAATTAAAAAAAAAAAGAAAAAAAAAACTCTATGTTGACCTTGGCACAATGGTCGACATACATATCAGTTTGCATAGCACATTTTGTTTGTCAATGGTGGAAAGAGAGAACAAGATGTGTAGAATTATTTGGCAAAGTGTTACATGTGAATTCTGATGGACTAGCTGAGCCGATATAGCTAATCATTCTGGCCCAGACAAAGGGGGCCGATCTAGCTGGCGGGCGGAAGAGCCTTGTAGGCCCCACTAGTGTGGGTGGCGGGCAAGGAGAGTGATAGACCGGTCCACTGGACCAGTCCAGCCAGTCTACACGGGACCGGCGTTTCGCAAACAGAGGCGGGATCTTTGCCTCCTACGGAGATTGGGCGGTCCGAACACCTAATCGGAGCCCTTTAGGAAGGATTTTTGAGGGTTTTGAGAGGGAAATTTGAAAGTAGGGACTGTTTAGGCTTTAGGGATTTCCTTTTGATTTGTATGCATTAAATAGTTGATTTTCCTAGGGTTAGGACATCTTGAATTTGGCTGAAATTTGAGATCTCTTAGATTTTAGGTTTCCTTTGGGCTCTAGCTACATCTAGAGATTTGGGAGAGATCGATCCTCCTCTCGAATAGAGGGTCAAGTGGATCTTGCTATTTTTCGTTTCACTTTCATCAAGGCATATAAATTATCTACTATTTTTTTGTTGTGCGGATTTTTGTGAAGAATTTTCACTGTTTTTAGAAGATTGATAGGAAATACTCGTGATCTACATGTACTTCCCATCAAATTAGTATCAGAGCACGTCGATCAAAGGGGAAACAATGGCCTGAAGGAAAGTGGAAGTTTTGGAGGGAGAACTTGGGCAACTCAAAGCAGATTTTGAGGAAAAGATGGCTGATTTTCAAAGTTATATTGCATTCGTAAATGAAAAGATGGAGGAATAGTTCGTCGCGGTGGAAGACATGTTGAAGAAATTGCTTAAAGCCAAAACCAAATCGGTGACATCAAAAACAAATAAAACTACCGGCGGCAATGGAAGAGATGGGAACCCTAACACGTCTAGGAGAAGGGAAAAGTTAGTAATGGAGATCCTGGAGGGAGAAGACGGAATATCTTCTCTAAAACCATTTTCTAGGGAGGAGATGAGCATTGGCTACGTAAGAAGGGGTGCTGAATTTGTAAGGAGAAGGGATGATTTCGATCGCCGGGGTGCTGATTTTGAAAGAAGAAGAAAGGATTTTGATGAATGGTTTGGGCATGATCGCCGGAGGGAAGATCATGCAATTGGGGAGCACCTCCTTTTCGAGGAATGGGAGGTTATGGAGGATTTAGGGAAAATGGGTGTGACCTGAGGCCGAAGAAACTGAAGATGCCAATCTTTGAGGGGGAGGTTGCGCACGGGTGGATCTATAAGGTAGAAAGATATTTCGCCGTCAAGAGGCTAACAGAGGAGAGACTGACGGCGTCGGGCATATGCTTAGAATGGAAGGCTTTGTCTTGGTATCAGTGGAGGGACATGCGACGACCCATACGAAGTTGGAGAGAGTTCAAGGATTGTTTGGTAGAACATTTATTAACTGGCAGGGGAGGAGACTTCTACGAGCAGTTCTTTGCCTTGACACAGGAGGGTTCAGTGACGGAGTACCGGGAGAAATTCGAGTACCTTGCTAGCTATTTGGACCGCCTTTTTGAGGGAGTGCTAGAGGAAAAATTCATGAAGGGATTGCCACCAGAGATCCGTGCAACAATTAGAGTAATGAGGCATCGTGACTTGGGAGAGCTATGGAGCTAGCTCAATTGTTAGAAGATTAGAGGCACTTAGAGGGAGAGATGGGAGGCAGTAACTCAGGAGGCTCGTACAGGATGACAACCACTTTATTGAAATCCAAGGAGCCAACACCTGATACTCTTCGAGGGACTTCGAAGGAAAAGACTACAGGAGGAAGACCCGGGGACAACTTCAAGAAGCTTGCAGAGACAAAATTATAGGAGAAGAGGGCAAATGGGCTTTGTTTCAGATGTGACAAGAGGTACGACGGGGCACAGGTGTAAAGACCTAACTCTTCAGATTCTTATCGTTTGTGATGAAGAAGGAATGGAGGTGTCGTCTTTCCACCTTGCGGACAAGGTGGATCTTTGGGAGGGGAGTAATGTTAGACCAGTCCAGCCGGTTCGCATGGGATCGACATTTTGCAGAGGTGGGATCTCCGCCTCATGCGAAGATCGGGCGATCCGAACGCCCAATCGGAGCCCTTTAGGAAGAATTTTTGATGGTTTTGAGAGTGAAATTTGAATGTAGGGACTGTTTAGGAATTTCCTTTTGATTTGTATGCATTAAATAGTTGATTTTCCTAGGGTTAGGGCATCTTGAATTTGGCTGAAATTTGAGATCTCTTAGATTTTAGGTTTCCTTTAGGCTCTAGTTGCGTCTAGAGATTTGGGAGAGATTGATCCTCCTCTCGAATAGAGGATCAAGTGTATCTTGCTATTTTTCGTTTCGCTTTCATTAAGTCATTCAAATTATCTACTGTTTTTGTGGTTTTGTGCGGATTTTTGTGAAGAATTCTCGATGTTTTTAGAAGATTGATAGGAAATACTCGCGATCTGCAAGTACTTCCTATCAGATCGTATCAGAGAGAAGGGGGCTCAAATGGGATTATTTCTACTTTAATTCCTTACTATAGAAAATCAAAATTGGGAGGAAATTAAGAAGGTTTATTTAGGAAAAGAGAGCTTATATGAATTCAAATTTGGGAGGGAATTAGGAATGTTTTTTATGATTAATTAGATTATTTTATTTTGATTATGTGATTTGGTGTTTTGGAGTAATTTTCTTTAGAGTTCCTAGCAGTGCCTAGGGATTGTGAAGCATTGATCTACCTCTCGAATAGTAGATTAACTTGTATCTTGGTTTGTTCAGCTGATATCAACAAAATTAGTCCATAATTTCATTCTTTATTGCTGATTTATGCTGCATTTTCTCTTCGTTGTTGTTATTTTTTTGGTTGTGGAGATCAGATTCTTATCAAATTGGTATTAGAGTACCTTTTTTGGGACATATGGCGGTTAAGAAGGTTGATACGTTGGAGGAGAAGCTTGACGGGTAAGTTGGAAATTTGAAATCTGAATTCAAATACCGAATTTCAACAATAGAGGGCAGATTTTTGAATCTGGAAGGGATGATGAAAAAGATGTTATAGTTTCAAGCCAAGACTGCATCATTGGAGGTAAGGGCACTATTGATCATATAAGAAAGTAGGGAAATCCCATTATAGAGACAATGGAGGAGGATCGGGAGGTGGAAATTTTGGAGGAAGAAGAGGAGAAGCCACCTTTGGAGTCATTTCCAAGGAGGGGAACGGGAGAAGGGTATGAGTAACAAAGAAATTGGGATGGTGAAGATCATAGAGCTTATTTGGGGGAGTTAAAAATATGGAGAGATAACAACACCCGCCACATTAGAGGAGAAAGAAGAAATTGTCGCGGTGGTGATCTGGTGAGAAAGTTGAATATGTTGATTTTTTAGGGAGAAGATGCTCATAGGTGGATTTATCGGGTGGAGCAATATGGGCGAGCCCCACATGATAACACTGCCTGTTCCCTTAGTTGTGGATTGGGAGGCATTGAGAAGGGAAAGTCAGC